CCCATGCACCGATACAGTCTTGGGGCTTACTGGCTGTTCAGCAGCTCTGCAGAAAAGGACCTGGGTTTTACAGTGGACAATAAGCTGAATATGTGCCAGCAGTGTGCCCTTGTTACCAAGAAGGCTAACGGTATACTAGGCTGTATTGGTAGGTGTGTTGCCAATAAGTCAAGGGAAGTGATTCTTCCCCTATGTTCAGCACTGGTGAGGCCACATGTGGAGTACTGTATTCAGTTTTGGGCATACCATATCCACTAGTCTCCCCACATCCACAGAGCCAGTCATCTCATCATAGAAGGTAATCAGGATGGTCAGGCATGACTTGCCCTTGGTGAACCCATGCTGACTGCTCCTAATCACCTTTTTCTTCTCCAAGGGCTTAGTAGTGGATTCCATGAGGATCTGCTCCATGATTTTTCCAGGGACTGAGGTGAGGCTGACTGGTCTGTAGTTCCCTGGATCCTCCTTTTTCTCTTTCTTAAATATGGGCATTATGTTTGCCCTTTTCCAGTCATCCAGGACCTCTCCTGATCACCATGAGTTCTCAGAGATGATGGCTTTGCAATCACATTAGCCAACGCCCTCAGCACCCTCAGGTGCATCCCATCCAGCCCCATGGACTTGTACACATCCAGCTTTTCTAAGTAGTCCCTAACCTGTTCATTCATTTTTAAACCTTTTATTCTTTCAGCTGAGAGATTAGTCCATGTGCCTACAGGCCTGGAGCATAAAAATGCCAGCTGTTCTGCAGGGGCACTTTTATTGCACTGAGCTGTTTCTTTTAAAAATGTCCCACATGCAGTGCTAAGAGCCTCAGATACTCCAAGGGTGCAGGTCTATCAATGAGGGTCCATGGTGATGGGATATATGCAGTGAGCAGGAAGAGAAGTTCTGTAGAGTCCACAGGGATTCACCTGGATTCACATCCCAAGTTGCCTTGGGTTTCCATGTAGGTCTGAGACTCTTTCTCTTCCTGTCAGGGTCCCTAAGCACATGCCATGGTGGGTAGGCCAGCCAGCTCCTAACCTCTCCCTGTTCTCTTCCAGAGTGACCTTAGAAGATGTCGAACCAGAGTAACGGTGACACTAAGCCCCCATGCCTACCCCGGAATGGATTGGTGAAGATTCCCGCCCAACCCAATGGACTTGGCTCAGCCAGCATCACCAAAGGGACCCCAGCAGTGAAAAACCGCCTATGCCAGCCTTCTTCCATGCCTGCTATCATCAGCCCACCCTTATCAAATCACAGTGACCTGCCCATATCCAGCCTGGCATCACCGCTGTCCTTGGCAACTCTGGCAGGGGTGTCCTCCCCTTCTGGCACCTCTGTGGTGGGACTGAACTCGAGTGAGGCCTCCTCAACAAATGAGCACTCCTCCCCAGAGAGGGCTCCTGGCTCCCCCACAGAAAGGCAGCTGGCTGTGGATGAGAAGATCCTCAACCGCTTGTTCTGGTACTTTTCAGCCTGTGAGAAATGCATCCTGGCCCAGGTGTGTAAAGCGTGGCGGCGAGTCCTCTACCAGCCCAAGTTCTGGGTAGGCCTCACACCCGTCCTGCACACCAAAGAGCTCTACAACATCCTGCCCAGTGGTGAGAAGGAGTTTGTCAACCTACAGGGCTTTGCCATCAGGGGCTTCGATGGCTTTTGTCTGGTGGGAGTCTCAGACCTGGACATTTGTGAGTTCATTGACAACTACCCCTTGTCCAAGAAAGGGGTGAAGTCCATGAGCCTTAAGAGATCGACCATCACGGATGCAGGACTTGAGGTAGGTCTCTGGGGATGATGAGTGCCTGCTGGGTTGTCCTGCCTGATCCATCTCCCAGGGTGTGACCCAGTTGTGTCTTTCATGATTCTTTGTGCAGGTGGGTTACAGATGTCCCAAACAGTAGAGCTACTAGCACATCCCCAGCCTCATATAGAGCCCCCCTGATCTGCGTCTTCATACATTTCTCCAAATGCTACACCTTTCTCCTTCCTTCTGACTCCCTTTCCCATCTCTCCCATTTCCTTTCTGGTGTTTACAGCTTCCAGCACTCATTGTCATGGCTCACTTACCCAAGCTATATATATTTCTCATGTATCAATCTCTCCTTGTGAGTCAGTTCCCTCCAGACCCAAATGGAGGGTTTTTTTTTCCCATTTGCTCTTTTGTGAACTCCATCCAATATGTCAATATCTCCCTGGTAATGCTGTGCCTGGAAATGAGCAGGATATTTCTGGTGTTCTCACACCACAGCTCAACTCTTAGGAGGATTCTTGAAAGAGCTTCTAAAGGCCCTGATCAAGATTTGAGCTGTATGTACACAAGGTGAGCCTGCCCCAAAGAGCTCACCACCTAGAACAGGTAAGCAGGGAAGGGAAGGATGAGTAGCCCTAGTTCAGTGTGGGGGAACTGAAGCATAGGGAAACTGAATGAATTGTCCAAGGTTGCCCAGGAAGGCTGTGGCAGATGTGGGAATTGAAACCTTGAAGGGCAGTCCTGAACCTGACCTACAAGCTTATCCCAAACTGTCTGCTTGCTGAAGTGATGGCTCTGTAGCTGCTGTCTTTGTCACCCTTTTGCATTGCAAGTGCAAGAGAAAACCCAGTTCATTTAATTCTGGAGTCACAATGCAGAGAAAATTCACAGGCATTGTCTCCTGGGAGCTCCCTATTCCAGTGTGCTACAGTGTTATACCCAAAAGATTCTAAGGCCAACCATAACTCATCCCCATGTTCACCCCATCCCAGCCTGCGTCTACAACCAGGAGACCCCTCATTAGTGCCACCTGTCTGTCCTGCTCATGACATGGATCTCTTTAGCTATGAGATGGGAAAGCCCAATCCACCCTTCCCACAGGCTAGGAGCAGGGCTAGGTGTTGAAACAGAGCTGTGAGGTGAATGCCATGCTGGAAATCCTCTCCAGGTTTTATAAGCACAGGGGGAGCTGGTGGCTATTATAAAACAGCAGCCAAAGGAAAAGGATATGCATTGGTTGCATCCTTACTTCTTGATGCTCCATTGTGGGACTAACCCAAAGGAAGGGATATTGGTGGAAGGTGAAAATTGCATCTTGCCAAGAAGGGCTCCCATTCCCTCCTCCCTGGGGAGTGAGTCTGCTTGCAGAGGTGTGTGGGACAGAATGGAGACCAGAGGTGAATCTCTAGACAACATCCAGATGTATGCTGGGCTGACAGGTGAGCCAGGGTGTTGGCACTTGGTCACCAGGGGTGGTTAAGGTGTGAGAAGCTGTTGTGCCTGACTTGTAGTATGGACATCTGGAGAATGGGTAACTCTAGCCCTCATTGTGGACGGAGTATTAGATAGGGCTGGTGGCTATCTGAAGACGCAGCTATTTGGTGAAAGTTTGAGAAGCAGTGGGGATCTCTGACCGCTGACTGGGTGAGGACATATGGGCAGAGTTAAGGTTTGTGCTGGGAGCTCAGCTATGGTGCATTGGTGTTTCTGACGAAGGCTGACCAGGCTGAAACATTGCTTTCAAGACCAGCATCTCTACAGAGGACTTGGTCCTTCGGATTTCCATAGCTGGGGTGGAAAGGAGGGGTTATGTTCTTCTAGTGCTTGTGTGTCTTGAAGCTGTTGCACAGACTTGTTGGCAGAGCTGTCTGGTTTGCCAATGGTGCCTATGGGAATATCAAGTTCTTCATGCCAGGCTGGGTACTTGTAGCTCCCACAAAACCTCACACAGAGTTTTTCCTGAGACACAGACTTGGAGCTGGAGTGAGCTAGGCCATGCTGGAGCACTCAGAAGGCCCTCAAATAGGTCTGACTTCAGAAGGGAATGCAGGTCTCTACACCCCACATTAGTGAACTTGGTCTGCATCACTGGTGTTGGCTTAACCTGCTGGCAAGTATGCTCCACATCCCTATTTGTGCCCACTCCACAGAGGAGGAGAGTCTGTTACAGCTCAGGAGTGTTGGTTCTTCAATCCAAACCATAGTAGCTTGTGCCTTTAGCTCTGGAGGGCTCTGGGTCAGTTAGCCAAAATGGCAGCTATCATGTGGCTGTCAAAGGATAATCTGCCCTCATCAGCATGCCTCGCAGTGTAGACTAAAGAGGGCGGGGGTAGAGAAAAGTGGGGAACTACATAAGGGAAAGAGAAAGAGAGATGAAATGGAAGAAAAAAAGAAAGAAGGAAGTACTTGTGGAAGGGATGGGGGTAGAAAGGAAGAAGGTGGGATAGATGCCAATGATGGAGAGGCTGTGGAGACCTCTGTCAAGGCACTGGCATAGAGAGAGGTAGGTGTGAGCTGCTGAGATCTCTCTGGAGGAGGGACTATCTCCTGCCTGTGGGCTTGACCGCTTGCCTCTTGGCAGGTGATGCTGGAGCAGATGCAGGGCGTGGTGCGACTGGAGCTCTCTGGCTGCAATGACTTCACAGAAGCCGGGCTCTGGTCCAGCCTGAATGCCCGCATCACCTCCCTGAGCGTCAGTGATTGCATCAACGTGGCTGACGATGCCATCGCTGCCATCTCCCAGCTGCTGCCCAACCTGATGGAGCTGAACCTACAGGCGTACCATGTGACGGACACAGCCCTGGCCTATTTCACCGCCAAGCAGGGCTATACAACTCACACCCTGCGCCTCAACTCCTGCTGGGAGATCACCAACCATGGGGTAGTCAACATGGTGCACAGCCTGCCCAACCTGAGTGTGCTCAGCCTCTCCGGCTGCTCCAAGGTGACTGACGATGGGGTGGAGCTGGTGGCCGAGAACCTGCGGAAGCTCCGAAGTTTGGACCTGTCCTGGTGCCCTCGGATTACTGACATGGCCCTGGAGTACATAGCCTGTGACCTTCATAAGCTGGAGGAGCTCGTGCTAGACAGGTAGGTGGGGGACAGAGCCCTGCCTGGGAGCCACTGGGGGAGGCAGAGTGTGCGGGATCTGTGGAACACTCCTCCTGGGAGAGACCAGGATGGTCAACACAGGAACCTCCCCTGCTGCACAGCCTCCTGCCCTATACCCTATGATGTCTGCCTGAGAGACGCCTGGCTGGAGTAGCTGGGGCTCCGGTGTGGATAGTCCCCCTGTTCCTTTCCCTACAGCAGCTCCTGCTGGGGCAGCCTGGCACTAGAGTAACATTGTCATGCCCCTTTTTTACAGTGCTGCCTGCTGGCAGAGGCTGGGACTGGAGGAGGGGGGATGTATCCTCTATGTGCTGCTGAACAGCAAATGCAGTTGGGGAAAGCTGCTCATTAGAAATCTTGGTGAGAAGCACTCCTGTAGCTCCGTTCCTGTGCAATGCTGAGCTAACATGTCACTGGTACACTGAGGCTGTAGATGCCCCACAGTCATCACAGGAGTGTGAGGCTGGTGGCACATGGGAAAGGGCTTGAGATGCATTGTAGGGGGTGGCCAAAAACTGAAATTGTCCTTTAACATGGGGTCGCTGCCATGCATTGGTCCCTGCCCAGCACCTGCAAGTGGAATGAGCTCAGAGGAAAAGCAATGGGGATTGTGGAAGGGAAGGGAATGGAACTTGCTGAGGTTGAGCCAGGAAGGGCTGCTCAGAGCAAAGGGTCTATTTGCACTGTGGTGCTGGCATTGACTCAGTGTCTTTGGGGACTGGGAGCCAGACCCCCAGCTGGTATAAATGCCGTTACTCTCTTCTGTGGAGCCATTCTGATTTACACCAGCTAAATCATCACCTTCTGTCCGCCTCCACCCTTTCTAGCCCTTCAGCAGGCCTGGATGATGACTTCAGCTGGCAGCTTGCTAAATGCTCCCTTCCCACCGCCCCTCCTCTGCCTCTTCCACATGGTGTGTCTTCTGGGCTGCATGCCTAGAGGTCCCTCTTCCCCCGTTGTCTCTGCCACTCCGTGCTGTTTTTTCCTCATTGCCTTCCTGCTGAAAGCCAGGGAGGAGTGTGCATCTGGCACCAAGACAGCTGTCCCAGGCAGGCAGGAGAGGGAACAGGGCAGATGAACACTGGCTGTGTCTGCAACTCTGGGCTAACTGGTTTCTGCCTCCCAGCTTGGGACAGAGCTCCCTTGTGGGGCATTGTCCCTGGGAGCTCCTTTTGCAGCCAGGACGTAGGTCAGGCCTGAAGATACAAAGCATGTGGTGCCAGCATCCTGTAGAAATACAGGATAATATACTGAACTGAGGGTACCTCCACCTGGTTTCCACATGGAGGTGCCAGTCAAAGTGGGCAGAGCAGAATGTTGATGTGAGGGAGTCCAAGTAATGGATCCAAGAGCATCGGCTCTTCTGTGGCCTCATGTGGATTGTACTGTTTTCCTACCCTCCCTCCCTCCCAGATCCTCAGTCAGGGCAAATGGCATAGGAGTCAACAGAGCTACATGGGTTTACCCCAGCTGAGGATCTGGCCCTCTCTGCAGTGTCAGTTGAGAACCTGGTGTTCTTTCCCATTGCACTTTCTGTGGCATGTGGTGCCCTCTAGTGACGTACAAGCATCTGTGGGAATAGCACCACAGATTCCTGCTTTCCCCCACTTTCAGAGCTGTTGAATTCACACCATTCCCTGTAGGAGTGCAGCAATGTTGAAGCTGCTGTTGGCCAGTGGCATGTTTCACCAAAATGAGCACTACATGGAAGGGTTTGGAATGACAGTGCTAAGCAGTAAATCTTTTATCTACCCCCAGACCAGGTAATACCTGGGCAGCATCTATGAGAGCTTCCCTCTCCACTGTGCCCACTCCCTGTTCTACTGGATGTCGATATGGAAGTTGGCCCCCATGCCTGCCCCATCCTGAGCTTCTCTCATGACACAGCCAGTTCCGGTGGTGGCTTTGATGACATGGGCGCCTACATGTGAGATGCATTTTCCATGAGGCCTGTACGTTGGCATCCAGTGAGAGATACTCCCAGTCACTTAAACGAGTACTGCAGCAGTGACCTAGATGCAAAAGGTTCCACAGCTTATTATCAGTCTCCTGAGCTGTCTGGTTCCCCCCTTCTTGTTGTTCTCTCAAGCAGGAGGTGAGGGTGTGCTGGAGAAGGAAGACACTCAACACAGTGAGGACATATGAAGCTGAAGGTCTTGCTGTTGGCTGTGTATCAGCCCACAGGGAGGGCTTCTCCAGATACTTTCTCACCAGAGAGCAGTCAGGGTGTGTCTGTTCCTTCCCTCTGGCCCCTGCAAGCCCAGTGCTAACTGACACCCAGTACCCAGTTTAAGAGATTGGAACTTCATGTAGAAGATGCCAGGACTCCTTCTCCCCTGAGTTCTGACATCTTCCTTGTGATCTTTGTGCTTTTCCCTGCAGGTGTGTGCGGATCACAGATACTGGCCTCAGTTACTTGTCCACCATGTCATCTCTTAGGAGCCTGTACCTCCGTTGGTGCTGCCAGGTAAGTGAACAGCAAAGGACGGAGCCAACTAGGGAAACCTCTCTGCGGAGGGAGGTGGAATGAGGTTCTTCTGTAAATCTCTCCCTCTTCCCTTTTCTCTATATGCGGGCTGGGTTGGCTACTGAGTTTTGAGATCCATGTAAGGCACAAATAATGTGATTGTGCTGCTAGTTGTACAGCAAGCCTGTGGCTGAACCTGGCTATTGCTGGGGTGAATACAACTCAACCAGAACATCTCTGTGGGAAGCCTGTAGAATGCATGGCCTTTGATGCAAAGCACAACCACTTCCTGTGGCTCTGCACACAGTCAGGTAGCATGTAATGATGTAAGAGGCCTGAGTATGTGACAGGAAGAGGTTCTGATATGTATAAGCTAGAGCAAGATGTGGGAGTCAGAAGATGGGGGTGGGAGGGTCTCTTCTCCACTCTCTCAGATGAAGTCACATGCTTTCAAAGCGGAGTGGTGGTGCTGAATTGTGTATGAGACTCTGAGGAACATCAGATTGGAAGGGGCTCCAGGGCCCTTAAGCCTTGTTCCTTATATTTGCAAGTAGCTGTTTACCAAAAGACTCTTAAGATCATTTATTGCAAACATTCATGCACTACAACTACAAGCCCACAACCAGAAACTCCCCAGCAATATGCCACAGGGGAGACATGAGCACTGCCCTGCCTTGCAAGGGAAGAGAAGTAATCAGGTAGCTGCTTAGTGCTTTTTTCAGCGAATCTTTCCAAATGTAGCTTATTCTTAGGGGTCTACTTAATTTGCAGTTTTGTGGGTTTCGTAGAAATGACAAAAACATTGTCCACAGTTGCCAGGAAATATTGCATTGGCTGTGATTTCCTGTGACATTAACCTACCCCTCAACATGTTTTTCATATAATACGCTGTTTTAAAATGTCCCAATGTTTACCACAATACAAAGACAATGTGATAATCACTGCAGCCATAGATCACATGATTGAGAGCTATTGTCTGCTAGTGAAGTGGACTAAGTGAAGGTGCCAGTCAGTGACGTGAAAATGTTTCAGTGCCATTTTAAAAAAAGTTAATGCAATGCCAGTGCCCCTCTACCAGTCAGCAGTGAGGTGTGGGGCCACCAGGAAATTGGCTCTTCATGCCACAGCCAAGCCATGAAAATTGCTTTGTCTCACTGTGAGTTAAGTAGATCCCTACTCATTCTGTAGTAATGATCTGGGGCCTTGCCTCTTCTGCTGTTTTAGGTACAAGACTTTGGCCTGAAGCATCTCCTGGGCATGAGAAGTTTACGCCTCTTATCTCTTGCTGGTGAGATCCAAATACTGATCTGTCCATGACCTGATAGACCTGGTTCTAGAGAGGTGGAAGCTCCAGAGGGGGATGGGGATGGGGATGGGGCTGAGGCTGTGTGAGCAAACCCAGTGACATCCCAGTCTTGCAGCAGTGTCCCATGAGGATGCCGCTGGCTCATGACAAGACATGAGGGTGTTTTTCTAACTTAGAATGGTTTGGGGAAGGGTAAAAGTGGCTGGTGCAATGGAGTTTTGTACAGTGGCCTCTGTTGGGTATGTGCTGTCTTCTCCTGCTCCCTGCTTTTTCAGCTGAGTAAACAGGGCAGGGAAGAAGAAGAAGCCAGGCCAAACAGCCAGGAGATACCTTCCCCCTGGTAGTCTGTGCTGTAAGCTGCATCACTTTCTCACACTCCACTCACTGTTCCTGGGGTCATGTTTTATGCTTCTCTGGGCACTGAAGAGCATCTACTGGGCTGGGGAACAGTGTTTCTTGTCCTCTGCAGACCCAGAGAGCCTGAGTGCCAGAGCTGCTGAGGAATCAGTGGGAGCTGTAGGCCTGAATTCAGGCTCAGAAGGACAAATCCCACCACTGGATGTGTGGCTTCCAGTCCCTCCCACCACCCTGGGGGGTGCCTGGTTCCTGCAGTTCAGTAGCAACTCCACACACACATTCAAAGGCAGAAGAGTGCTTCACTTCTTTCTTACTCCTTGTAGACTTCCAGGCATGTTTACCAACCACTTCTTAGAGCACCTGGGAGTCCCACTTCCACTGACAGCCCAAGTCAAGCCAGCGCCCAATTCAAGCCACCTCCAAGCATTTCTGGGTTGGCTGAAAAAGTTAGGTCAAAGTGGTTGTGTGTGGATGTGACTTAGAGGCATGTTCCCTGTTTCACCACTTGACCGCACCTTCTATGCATCAGTTCCTAGGGAAAGCCTGATGGAGAAATGTGGATCCTGATTCTCTTTACACTTCCATCCCTGGAAATCAGGAGTCATTCTGCTGCCTCCAGTGAATGGCTGCAAGTCAGGTGGCCCAGGGATGCTGAGGAACCTCAGGGTGTGTCTACACTGCATCCCCAGTGCCTGCACTAATCCTAGGACCATGATGTTGAAGCATCTCTTGCAGCTGGGGGCATTTCTTGCAGCCCTCAAACATGCTGAAAACAGAGGTCTCAAGAACAGCCATGTGGGATGCCCCTGGAGTGGCTTCACTGCCTCTTTTGGGGGGGGGGGG